CCCCATTTTCCCCAGCCCCCCTTCGCTCCTTCGCCCCAGTCCCCCCCCCCCCCCCCCGTTGTCACAGTTGCCCTTGCTACTTCATGTTGAGTGAAGCCCTGTTTAATGTTTCTGCTGTTTTGCGATTATTTACCTTATTTAAATGTCATAATCCTAATGATTGTATTATGTGTTCATTTCATATTCACTGTAGGTATGGTGCTGAATGTAAGAAGAAAATGGAGGTGCCTACGTATTAATGGAAGACCTTACGTGACTGCCTTCATGTATTCTTGATTAATATTCTCCGCCACGGATTAATCTAACTCGCTGTCCTTGAGAAGCGAATTCCCCGAGTTGGACAAGAGTTTACTGTAATCTGTTGTACACATATTTATTAAATTCGCCAGTTATGATGGAGTCGTTCAAGTCTCTACCTCAGATATTGTCAGATTTCTGTTCCTTTCAGAGCGAAAGTGCTGGCGAGAGGCCCACCTCTGCCTACTATTAAGAGGTGCAACTCTTTGGTGTTAATGAGATCCCTGCAGAATTGATCTAGACTTGGCCGAAAACTTGATGTTCCAACACCCATAACGTTATTGTTTCCGTTCGGGATCAAGGAAAGTGCGACAGAATTGGCAGGAATCTATTGTGACGTGTTTTCAAAAACGAGTTATGAATTTGGGCGCATTTTTATCTGAGAAAATGACTGTAATTCCGGTCTAGAAATCCGAAATTAACGGCCGTGTGGGTTCGCTGCCCTAACCACGCGACACCCTCTATTAGCAAAAGTTGACACTAACTTCCCCGAAAAGCGGCGGTCGCTCGGTCTGTATAGTTCGCTTGCGGGCTAAAATCATGGAGTTTGGTATATGACTGTAATAATCTACACTGACATATTTGTTCGGTGTTATTCTTTGAAGGCTAACTCCATACGTAGAAACAGTTTTTCTTTCGGGTTATGAATGTGGTTTTATAATAACAGATTAATTACTGATACGATATTCTGCGTTCTTTAAATGCCAGAGAAGACTCAATTTTAGCATAGTAAGACACCAGAAGGCCACGCCATAGCTCAAGCGGTTAGCCGCTGGCTTCCCACCGCGGCGGCCCGAGTTCGATCCCTGGTCTGGTCAAGTGGGATTTGTGGTGGACAAACTGGCGATGGGACGGATTTTCTCCGAGTACTTCGGTTTCCCTGCCAATCTTCATTCCACCAATTGTTCCACAATCACCCTCACCTATCATCTGGGGCTGGTACAATAGGCCAGGAGTGGCGGCAGCACAAGGGACTTAGTCCCACCCCACTAGCAATAATAAAAGAAGACACCAGAAGGTGGCCATTTAGGGCCGAAACATGTTGTGTTGAAAGTGAAAGTGAAAGAAAAAAGGAACAATTTGTTGCATTGTTGACGGACTGTGTAGTACATAGACAGTTTTAGCAAGAAGAAGTGTGTACCTGTGTTTTTAACGACACAATGAATTGCTAAATGTAGCTACTAGTGGTGAAGCACTTCCAGTGATCTTTGAATTGTAACTATTTCATTCCGAATGTTATCGACCATCAGGCAAGCTGATTCATCGGCAAATTCCGCATAAGCCTTACGGCAAGCAGCGCACTGCTCGCCGCGAAGAGCAGAGCTGTGAACTCGTCAAGGAGTAAGAAACGGACGTCTGCGATGCGAGAGACAGCACCAAATCACCACGTTGCAATGATCTGAACTCTGATGCCACAGTCAATTGTTGTGCTCTACTGACTTCACGATTACACCAAAATTAACTCGAACTTCTACTTCACAAACTAGTTTCAAAGAACATTTTAATTTCACGAATACAAATCCGAATCTCTAGTGTAATTATCGGTAGCAAAGGGAAGCCTGACAAACGTTGACTGACTTAGGTTACTGCATGCCAATCCTTGTCAGTACATTGAAAAGGCTACGCAGCCAAGTTATGTGAAGGCAGATATACTAGGATGTTAGAGTTGTGTTTCAAATACTGGCTGCCACAGATCTATTACCAATACAAACAGCATTATCTGTTACTTAATTTTATGGCGCTCTTTTAGTGTATGTGAATGATAATGAACTACTGAATTTTCGGAAATGGGTAATAAGTTGTGGTGTTCTATTTTTGTGTTACAAGTAGCTGACCGGACTTTCAGCAATGTGTGCAACATGACGAGAAGTGCTTCAGGTGTGGTAAAGAAGATATTAGAAAAATTTTCAGTTTAACTTTGATTCCAGAAATTTGTCATCAGTTTTTCGCCGCCTTGGTAGCAGGTGAATGAGAAGAACAGATTTATTGGTAACATTTCCATTAGCCCTTTCCTTGGGAACTCAGGACCATCTTTGAAATCATGTTCCTACTATACTTCCTTGTGCTCTAGTACACGTATACTGGAAAGCGTCCTTTCAGTTCATTAATATCATTCGCTATGGCCGATTTCCCACGTTGATTTGAATTGTTCTGTTTTCTGTTCGCTGTAAAAGTGTATAATTTTTTCTGGATTATTAAATCTTAATTCAGTCTAATCATATACGATATATATATTCCTCATTTCCCTCTTTTCAGTTTTATCAGTATTACTGATTATGTTAAAAGCCAAACGTCAGTTCAGTACATAAACGTGGAGCGTATACATACCCAGCTCTTTTCGTCCCTCTTTGTCATTCCAGTGATCTGTTAAGTCAAGCGCACCTCTTGAGCGTGACATTTTGTATTGGCACCAATGTCATCATAATAAGCAAGAGGACAGAAGTAGTCATCGTCTGCCGGCTCTGATCAGTGGAGACAATGATGTAAACTTCTCTTTCAGCTGAAACCAGTTTAATGACATTTCTCACTTGTTGTTTACCGAGAACGTCACGCAGTATTAATTTACAGCACATGACATTAGTAGATTTAACATGGAAACCCCATGGACAACGATTAAAATCATATCCCTGAAGATTGAGGCGATACATTCCTACGAAACGTAGGTTGCTTTCAACGGTCTATACGGCGTTATATCCAAGAAAACAACTCTTCATAACTACCGCACTGAGAACTTCAAATCCTGTAAAATGCATACTGGATTTGAGAATCTCATGGCAGATGCTCTGCAGACTTACAGTCTTCTGGGTTGTAATGTTGTGAGGTTCGGAGGAGCATTACCTCCACTTTCAGGATGGAGGAGTAAGTACACAGCGCTACAACTCAGACTTCCGTATCTTCCAAAATATGATTATTTTCGATGCCGTCTGTTGCTAGTGGTTTTGTACACTTTTTGCGCCACGCTTTTGGAATCACAGAAATTCTCCGCCCGAGACGGTTTCGTTATTAAATGAATTTGAAAAACGAAACTTAGTACATGTGTAATTATGTAGCTCCAGAACTGGCAATTCAAGAGAGGACAGGAGTGTATGCCCAGTGACACCGAACAAAGCAAGATCTTGAAATATTTGAAATTTTAACCGCCAGCTAGATGAGCCAACTGAAGGCTATGGTGTTTCCCAGATACTTTTCTTATTCGAATTATCTCCGAAGATGAATATATTGTGGCATATACCCGTTGATAAGCAGGAGGTTTTTAAACATAGACCGTTTCTGGGCAACGGTTCGGTAAACACGTTCCCACGGAAACAAAACAGTCACAATTTCACAAAAGGACAAAATGCTGTCACGCTATTTATCTAACGTCTGGCATTACTAAACTGTGACACGAGGTTATCGCTTTTAGTGCCTACTTCGAAGCTTGTATTTTCGGCGGATGGAAATATTGTTGCACTTTATTGTGATGCCACAGTTGTCTGAAAATAAAGACCTGATTAATTACAACAATCATCATTTTCATCAAGAATTCGTTTTGGAACAGGCCATTGTGGACAAGGAGCTAAATTCCAAAAGTCTGTGTAATTCTCTTCTGTTTATTAATAATTTCAGGTTCTAGTCCACTGTCATTTTCCTTGAACACAGAACAATAAGATCAGCGCTCTCACTTTCATCCCTCTCTAGAAGAGGATTACCAACGAAAGACACGACGAACTTCATGCAATCAAGGTCTTTCAATCCGCTTTCAGACCCCTCTTATATATTACCAATACACGGATTATAAACAGACGCATAAAGTACACTTCCAGCGCGACTTTAAATACTTTGGATGCACACTTTTCCTTCGCGGAATCTCCCACAACTTAACTTTTCCTTTCAAAGAATCAATGGTGACATTAATTTAATGATAGTCTTGGATCCTTCTTGAAGCACAGTATTCAAATTAATCGGTTTGGCGGTGCCTAACATTTGTTAGGAAAGCAAGATCTGGCAACTACCGAGAATCTTTTAGTTGTATAAATCAGTTTTGTCTGTATCCGTTCCCTGTCGTTCGTTTGTACTTACGACATATATGTCTGCTCCTGTAAGCCGCTTAACTCCTCTCAGGTTCGTGTCACAGCAGTACTCATAACTGAGGCAAATGGTAGCTGCACACTGAAAGCCTGTCCACTTCTCCAAAACAACGACACAATAATAACTTTCGAAAGCGAAACTTTGCAATTTCCTTGCGCAAGCAAAGAGTAATATGGCCCTTTAATATTATCAGATTTTAACAATCCATAATGAAGGCCTGATTACTTTAGTTTAGGAGTGCAGCAAAATGACGTCCGACTCTAATTAATTTAAGCCTCCAAGCCCTCAAGACTGGTATCTTGCGGGAGCTTCGCTTCATCCACAAGAAGGATTTGAATTGATATCCCTCACAGAAAAAAATCATCTCCAGTTCGCTGATTTTAACTAGCCAAAATCATCATGCAATCAGCATAAGCCAATCAAGTAACAACTTCTGTGAACATAGCAGTTCTTAAGGTATAGAACTGGGACCCCCATATGTGAAAGCAGTTACATTATTCAGTTTAGGGTTCTACTACACCGTTCCGAAGACAATTTATGACAGCTATGCATGTCCCCCCCCTAATTAACCCGAAAACTACAGACTTGCCTCCCGTGGTGACCTTGCCCCTTCCGGTGATCCAAACTGAATGTAAGAAAAAGCAGTTGTCTTCTGTCTAGATAAGAGGAACAAGTCATAACTCGCCAATAAATAAGTCACCCCTTCCGAAATGAGTGAAGTGAACAGTAGCGTCCACGGAGAACTGTAACAGGTTTTGACTGTCACATGTCTGAGAGAACCCCAAAGTTTCTGGAAGATGATCTTGGAACCTGACAAAAATTTCACTCTCCTAAGTCAACGGACATCAGTATACAATATCAGTACCCCACAATGCGCATAAAGTTTGTCTAGAAAATATTTTAGGAGCATATTTTGGAGAGACCTACCACGAATTCTGTTTGCGCTGTTTTACACGGAACTCGTCATGCGTTGAAATTCGACTGATTCTGTACGTAGGGCTTGCTGATGAGTGACGCAGTGGCAAGTAAGAAACGCATGGGAAAGCGGCATATTTTTTCAAGACCGAATTAAGCCAACATTTTTATCGGCGACAGCTGGGCTGCCTTCTGTGATGATTGGTGCAACTTCATCTATGGGAACATATATTTCCAGAAAACTAGCTTAAAAGTTTTGAAAAATATCTTCACCTCTCGTCTTCCTAAGATAACAGCACTGTTTTCAACAGATCCGCCTTATTATTTTCACTATTTAAGGGTGACTATAGACGGGGTTTGAACTGGTGAATGAATGTATTGACCACTTATACACACGACTCTGAACTACAAGCACTTACAAAGTTATCGTTGGTCTCCACATTTACAAATCACTACGCCCTAATTCTTCTCCGGCCTGCATTGTCTTCTCTAGTCATTGCTAAGTAACAGCTCTCAACAATGGAGATTCTTCAGCTTCTCTGCTCTCGTCGTTGCTGTCCGGCGAATATCCCGCAACTGAACTGTGAACTTAATTACAGCGCCATCTTTTTTCAGCCTCCCTTGCAGAACTCAACAGACTATTCACTGGGTCTCCCAGTTGTCTTCAAGACTCGGTACAGACCACGCAGAAAACACAGCCTCTCTAATATGGCATATAGACCCGTTTATAGGCAACGACAGCGAAACAAACAACGAGACAACGGTCACTGCTAGGCAACAGCTTTGTAAATACGCAATAGTACTGGAGCTTTTGCTAGGTAGCGGTTTGCGCGCAACAATGGAAGTAGTGTTGGAAGCCGTGTATTCTATGTGGTCCGTTCCGAGGCTATATAAGTCGATCGAGAGAGTTCAGTTCCTTTAGTGCAGCGTAGTGCAGTGAAGTGGAGGGAGATGGTTAGTGAGTTAGTTAGAGGACTGCTGCTGTTCAGTCCTTGTGAGCTGTTGCTGTCAGAAGCTGGTAGCTGAAGCACGGAGATGTTTCGGGAACACGGAGTAAGGGGAACTGCCGGCCGCGCCATAGCTCAAGCGGTTAGTCGCTGGCTTCCCACCGCGGCGGTCCGGGTTCGATCTCGGGTCTCGTCAAGTAGGATTTGTGGTGGACAAAGTGACACTAGGGCGGGTTTTCTCTTAGTACTTCGGTTTCTCTTACAAATCTTCATTCCACCAAATTCTCCATCGTCATAATCATCCGGGACAGGTACATTAGGCCAATCAGTGGCAGCCGTGCCGAGTGGACCCAGTTGGACTCCACCCACCACTAAGCGAATAAAAAAAAAAAAGAAAGGGGAACATCCGCCATTGGAAGCCGTTACCAGACGAATGGTGAAGACACAGCAGACTGGGAAGACTTAGTGCGTGCTGTAGTCCTTTGGCTATCACGTGATCTGTGTCTTGAAGTGATCCCTGCTGGGCTAGCAATTCTAATTCTACATACTCCATGTTTAAACATTCGCTTAATAAATTTTAAAAAAGATTTCCTACCTTTTTTTTTTCCTTGGCACTACATCCCCAGTGGGCCTAGGCCTACGTCCATTAACTTCTCCGTTCACTTCGGTTTTTCTAGATCTTACACATACGGTAGGACTCCTTGGGCGGGTGATCAGCTCGTCGCAAAGCCTCTACCTGTGCACAAACACAAACTAAACATCCATACCATGAGTGGGATTCGAACCCACGATCCCGGTTTTCAAGCGAGCGAAGACAGTACAAGCCGATTTCCTACTTTACAATCTGAAATTCCTTCACTGAATTTGTACTGGGAGTGGTACTACCAGTTTCAGTATAGGAAGTTTCCATGTACGAATAAAATCAAGTCGGACACGACCTCATTTATTGTTGTCACACCTTTGAACCTTCTGCGTTGTACCAACTTTGCACTCACGGTGTAGACGTTACACATACACGTATATCAACTGAAACTGACCGTTTACAGTCGAAAACATGCATATATTTAGAAATTAAAACAAGTGTGTGTTGTTACATGAGTAGCATTTGGGATTCCCACACCTGAGGACGGAGGCGACAAGTTTCTCCGAATAGCAGTTGTCACCGGACCACACGGCGTCATACCGCAGAAGTGAGAACTGACGTCAAAACTACTTGTAGCGCAATCTCGCAACTTGCGAACGTATTGCTGAATGAGAGAATCAAAATTCGAGATTCTGTGTTGATATAAATGTAATTAGTCACTGAGTCCTGTACTGCGTGCAGACACGAATAACGTTTTTATTTATGCAAGCTGGTGGGTATAAATCTGGGGCTTAGAAACAAGACGTACAGGAGAATAGAAAAATCACAAAATGAGGAGCTTATAAATGTTAATCTTCGCCAAATATTATTACAATTAATTAAAATCA